ACTTTCGCCAAAAGCAAAAATCTTTCTCCCCGTAATTAACTTCGTATGTTCATCAATTTCTTCGTAAAATTTCCCTACCTCTCCTTGTCATTTCCCGCTGCGTATCACAAAGTCTACATCGATTACCTCCCCTGCAAACCAATTTTTGGATCTATTTGTCAACTGGCCAACTAATCAAACGTAGACAATTACATGATTTTCATTTACTCGCCTCGGCAAGCACACATTGCCTGTGTGAATAGATATGAATGACGTACATTCATAGAAACACATCTATACATAGAATTATTTACGAAGCTGAACTTATTCTGGTACAAGGCTATATTAATGGGACACTTATGTACCGAAATATATATATATTTATATATATATATGTAGTCAGGATCATCTCTCGTTGGAACTACTAAATCCTCTTCCTTTTATATATATATATATATATATATATATATATATATATAATAATATATATTACTGAAAACGTTCTTTTTAGTGGATACACGTATTTGAGTTGCTATCCCTGCTTTTGTTTTATTTTTTTCTTAAACGGGGAAATTAATAACAACCGGCCTAGACTGAGAAGTCCTATCAAAGAAAGATTGTTCCTCTGACAGGAATCGAACATGTGTCGCCTTTTCTATATAGAATTCACCAATTTGGAGAATTCAAACCAACGCGGCCTCTAAATTTGCAGTCCCATCTCCTACATGTCATATACACAACTCTCTTTTTTCTCTTTATAAATATACACATATATACTATATATATATATATATATATATATATATATATATATATATATATATATATATATATATATATATATATATGATACTGTGAAAACAGTTTGTCTGTTTGAATATATAATATATATATATATATATATATATATATATATATATATATATATATATATATATATAAAAAACTCAAAAACTAATATTCCATGGTTATAATTTATTACATTGGAATCGTAATCACGATCCAAATCACCAGACTACGATTCCAATGTGGATAAATTATAACCAGAGAATATTAGTGTTTGAGCGTTTTATAGTAAATTCTTACTCTTTCCTGGACATTGAATTCTACCTGGATTCTATACTCTTGGGAATTTATTTATATATATATATATATATATATATATATATATATATATATATATATATTGACCAATAATGTTATATATATATATATATATATATATATATATATATATAGTCATACATAGACAGTCTGTTTCGCTGTATCACAGCTCATCAGTGTGAATAGACATCCAATCAATTGCTTCAAGCCGGGATCGAAAACGATTCGGCGCAAATCTGTCGTATATCATTTGGCCGTTTTATAAATTCATAAATATAAATATATATAAATTTATAAAAGTGTTAGTTTAAGAAATAAGCTTTCGTCTCAGAATCTGTGATTGAACAATTGATCTATTCGGTATTTTTTATGCTTTAGCAACCCTTTGTGGATTGTTTAAAGCGGAAACATATTTCGGATTATAATAATAATAATATTTTTTTTTTTTTGCAAGTGAATATTGCATTAACAATTTTTTTAGAATAACATTGACTTTTCCAGATGCTATTTAACCCATAGCTAGAGGGAGGCAAAAGATTCCTACCTTTCTCATAGGCATTTGCGCAAAAGTAACGAACCCGACTGGAATTCGAACTCGGCTACTCCGAGTTCTCATTCCAATCCGCTGTCCATTACACCATCCGCACAGTCACCAAAGACCATAAGGTCTCTCGTTAAATTCGCGAAAGATCTCGTCTACTTTGACACTCTTGCGACCTGTCTGCCTAAATGGATGTGCGCTTGGAAAGATCGGTGTGCCGGATTCCAATTCTAACCCGTGCCGTTTCCGCAATTTGGAAAGGTATGAACCCATTTCTCCTCCATCCCAACTATGTGTTAAATAATAGCGTATACTGCGTTCTCTAGCCTTGGTTGGCAGCTAGTCAAGGAGAAGTATAATTCCGAATTCAAAATTGTACTTGGAGCTAGCAACTCCACCCTGTATAAAGCCTACTTGCTACGGCCATCTCAACTGCAAAACTAGCTTGGCCACTCGTCTACCTTGGATGTCCTCAGGAAAAAGGGGTAAATTGATCTCCGCAAAACGATTCAGTAAATAGATAAACTCCAATGTGTTTTAAAGTCTGAATTACGAAGTGATACCCAAAAAGTACAGGAAATATGATCAGGAAAAAGTCCACCCATCATCTGCGTCTCCTTGAAGCGGTCCATATTAAGTTACATCAACCGACTCTGTGCAGACAGAAGGAGCATTTCATTCGCGCCATCAATCTTTAAGGAAGTTTGTGAGTACTATTTTCTGCATTTTATATTCACTTGAAACTATTAATTTTTTATTCGTAAAATATTTTACCAATTTTACCTATTTTAATCGTGTTCCAAAATTTTCAGTCCTCACTTCTCCATTTTTTTTTCTTTTATTCACTTTGTGAATTGTTCTTTTCTTTGTTTTCATCAAAAATTACGCCAACGTTTTCCTTCTGACGAAGTGTTGGCTGAAAGGATTCCTTAAGGTAAAAATGGCTTTGTGTATTTTTAAATCTGTATTTATGTTCTGCGGTATGAAGTCCTTATCCAAATATTTTCGGCGTAGATACCACAGAAGGGTTATTAGCGAACTCAGCCGCATTATTCGATTCTGGCACAAGGTTAATTCCCTTAGAGCCATTGGTTGTTTTTCTAGTCTTGTTTGCCACGTGGTGTTGCCCTTTCGTTCATCAAACGCAAGTTACTCAAGATTAAAATAGGATCCTTTTTTCCGGTCGAACGCGTTTTTATAAAGTATGAGTTAAGTAAATTATTTGATTTTTCTTCCTCATGTTTATGTTTGTATCGTTCGCCCTTAACCGAGATTAGGCACAAATTATCTTTCCATGATTTCTTTCGTTTTTCACGCTATTTAGCAACGAATCAGTTGCAATTTGAAGAGCGTATTAAGTCGAATGTGTTGCAATTTGAAGAGCGTATTAAGTCGAATGTGTTGCAATTTGAAGAGCGTATTAAACCGAAAAACCAAAGCTATTTCAATTCTCTCATCTCAAAAAGATTTGGTAATGAAAATGGAAATTTAAATAAACATATATTTAATTTCTCCAATGTCACTTTAACGGAAATGGAACGTCTTGCTCTTTCGAGACCGTTAGATTTTTGCATTCCTCCCTCTGAAGTAAGCAAGAAGCAAATGTTCGCTGAGTTTGAACTTTTGATCTCTGAGTTGAATTTCTAAACACCTACCTCTCTGGACAAGCTTCCCCTTTTGTTATAATGGAATGTTCCACTCTCCCTATTACCTATTGTGAACTGACTATATCAGTAATATATGTAGTGTGCAAAGACCATACCAGAGTCTGTCTATCTGTTTGACTGGCTTCGGGAACTGTTCGTCTTTCAGTTATGTATTCTCTTTTACAATAAACCCTCTCTTTCTTCCATCTACGCCCGTATTGCTGTTCCTTTCACTCGATTACCACCTTTGTCTGGTTGTAACCTTTTTAAGGATATAACAACTTTGTAAAACAAGATTATTCGAATTATCTTGCAAATATCCCTCTCTCTCTCTCTCTCTCTCTCTCTCTCTCTCTCTCTCTCTCTCTGCCGATCGAGAGTGACCACTTCCAGACTATAAGGTCTTTAAAAACTAGAAGTGATATTTATATAACTAAGCCTGATAAAAGCTCGAGGTGGTTATTCTAAATAGTGACGACTACATTGATCAAATGAAAGTCATTTTACATGAGATTTCGGAAAATTGTTCCTGTGACGATACCAGCAAAATAGAGGCAAGAGTACAGAGATGATTACACTATGTACACAAGAGCAACCTCATTTCCAAAATGGTGTATGATCGTATCAAATCTATAGGATCCCAACATCCAATTACGTATAGATTATCCAAAAGGCATAAATATAATGTACCCTTTAGACCTATTTTGTCTATGGTTCCGTACAACATCAATTGGCCAGAGCTTACCCGACAACCCAGACTGTGCAAATAAATAAGTGAACAATTCTTTCACAGTTTTGCATTTACGTCTCCTTGAAGCGGTCCATATTAAGTGACAGCAGAAGGAGCTTTTGATTTTCTCCCTCAATCTTTTAGAAGGTTCGTGAGTACTATATTTTCCATTTTATACTCACTTGGAAATATTTTTTATTCGCAAATTATTTTACCAATAAATCTATTTTAATCGTGTTCCAAAATTCGTGAAGTCGATATACCAAAGAGGAAGTGTCATCAGAACAATTACGGTGAAAGCATTTATAGAAAAGACACAGTGACGCCACGTTACGACCTTGAGAAAATTACTGAAGCCGAGATGCCAGGTCAGGATCAGTAACAATGCAGATTCCTCTTTGTATTTTATCAAATACATAGCAGAAGCATCAGGACAGATGTGACAGCAATATTCAAAGCCTGCATGAATGGCAGACTTATAAATGTCTAAGATAGATTCTGACGAGAAAAATTGTCTCGCATGACAGAGTGAACCAACTTTCCTAGTAGCAGGCGTAGCAATTGATTCAATATAATTTCTCCATTTCATGTCAGCGAGAAAAAAAATCAGCCCGAAAAGTCACAGGGAGCCACTCTGCTGGAGGTTAGCATCAGCCATATGCTGATGCAAGGCAAAACTCATGTATACAAAGAACAGATTTCACTGACTGAACAATTTTGCATATTTTATCAGAGTTATATCATCTTTCTCCTATTGCTTTTATTATTATTATTATAATTATTATTTCTTTCGATTTCTGTTATACTCATTTCATCCTGGGTCCCAACTAGAGACCTAAGATCAGAAATGACATCATGATATTTTCCACTGAACATTTTTAAAACAACCTAAGAGCACACAGATTTTACATTGATAAAGCCCTTCGTAATGTATGAGCTGTACTTGTGAGAACAATGTTTCTATTTCCTTAAGGTATGACCTAACAAAGGTCCTTCAATA